AAAACCCAAACAAGTCAATTGAGTCCTGCTTGAGGGTGAGCCTGAAGTTTGGCACAGTTGGATCCTGGAGGGTAAGTGTTTTTTATTTACTTGAAAGCTGGATGTAAACTGTTTGGGTATTTCTGATTGTGTTAGTAATCAAGTATAAGCTGACTAGCTGTTTCTGATTTTGTTTACAATCTGCTGTGGGTGGGGAGTCTCTTATAACAGTTTGCTACTGGTTCTTGGAGAGTGACATCATGTTTGGGAGAGTGGAGGGACAGCACAGGAGGGGAAGACCCTAGATGAGATGGATTGATTCTGTGAGTGGGGTGGTGGGAATGAGTGTGTTTGAGACGGCAAGGTTGGCACAGAATAGAACAGCATTTAGGGCTCCTATACATAGGGTCGCTATGAGTCACAAGCGACTTGATGTCACACAACAACAACAACAACAACCACCAACAGCTAATCTTAGCAGAATGAATTCTGAAGATACCATGAGTCAGAGCTGACATCACAGTAACTCTCAAAGGAACCCATGGGGCTATTGTAAGCACATGCTGCAAAGCACTTAGATTAGTGCTTGTCATGAATAAACACTTGCATTTACATGATCACATTTCTTTCTGTGTTTAAGTGTTCATGATTACAACTTGTTTTTACAAAACTGAAATCTTATATTCAATTATAAAAGATTCAAATTTATAATGGGCTGTTTTACAGCAAACTTCTTTTCACCCTAAAACTGCATCATACAAGGTCATCACTAGAAGGAATGCTAAGGCCAGGGAGGAGGTACAGAAAGTAAGGGATGATGCTATCTGAAGTAATGCCAAAATTACCATCTATAAAATCTTTTTAAAAGAAATTTACTAATTTTCATAAAATTATCCTTGCAGTTAATAATAATAATAATAATAATAATAATAATAACAAAAACAGTTTTTGTAAACCCAGCTCACATGACATCATTGAGCTGGTCTTACAAAAAAAGATGCAGCTGTTAGACTATGGTAAAAAACAGACTGCCAAATACAGCCAGAAATGCACAATCTGGAGAGGAGAAAACTGATGAATGGGACCTTCTAAAGATTAAATCTTTGTGCAAATAAAAAGCTTTTCCCAACAGAGTGAAAAGAATACCTACTGACTGGGGAAAAATTTTGGCAATACCATTTCTGACTAGGGTCTCATAAAAAAAGTTTACAGAATCCTACAGGGCCTCCACAAGAAAAAGACTGATAACACAATTACAAAATGGGCAAAAGACATGCAATGACTTTTCACAGAGAAAGATATTAAGATGGCGAAACAGACACATGAAGAAATGCTCTAAATCACTTGCAATAAGACAAATGCAAATCACAACCAAAATCAGATACCATCTCACTCCAGTAGCAATGGTAGAGTTTAACAGGATAGTAAGTAATAATTTTTGGAGAGGATATAGAGAGATAGGAACTCCTATACATTGTTGGTGGGACTGTAAAATGGTACAACCACTCTGTTGGAAACAACATAAGTGCCCATCAACAAACAAATGAATAGAGAAGCTCTAGTATATTCACACAATGGAATACTATGCTACACCAGAAAACAAAGAACTCATGCAATATTATTCAAAATGGGTGACCCTGGAGGACATTATGCTGAGTAAAATCTCTCAGTCACAAAAGGACAAATACTGCATAGTGTCACTATTGTAGAACAGGACTGACATAAGGGTTGGGGTGAGACTGAAAAAATTGGATAAATTATGCATACTGCATTGAAACAGATGAGGGAAAGAACAGTTTGAAAGAGATATATGATTGGGTATTATGGTTATGACAAGAGTCCAGAATGAAGGCTGCATAGTGGAGTGTACTGAGGGGGGATTGTATACCAATGAAGGAATTTTTCTTTTACTTTTCAAGAGAGGAGCGAACTGTGGGGAGAGGGGTGGGCAGGGAGCAAAATGCAACAATGAATTCATGGAAATCCAAAATCTCTGTAAATGTTCATTAAAATGAATAAAATAAATTTTTTTTTAAATGGTACAATCACTCTGGAAGACAGTTTGGCATTTCCTCAAAAAAGCTGAAATTAGAAATTCCCTATGACCCAGCTATTCCACTTCTTGAAATATGTTGTTGTTGTTGTTATGTGCTGTCAAGTCGCTTGTGACTCATAGCGACC